CGGGAACAACTGAAAAAAAACCAAACAACCAGAGGGAGGGATGGGATGAGGGGAGGGGGAATGCTGTATCATCAGCCCAGGTACTATTGTGCTGGAGTGAGGTACGGGCAAGCTCAGTTTGAGTCTTCACAGGAGTCATTTGTTGGAATAGCTCTGTGGCCCTTTGCCCGCTCGGCACGGAGCTAGCACTGGTGTGTGTGTGTGTGGTGTTATGTTGGAAGGTTCTTGCCTCGGAGAGAACCTTTTCTGTGTTGAAACGGGTGTATAAACATTTCGTCCGCCAGCTGCTCATATGTTCTAAGCCCAAAAGTTGTAATTCTAAAAACATTTCTACAATTTTTCAGTCTATGGTATCGGTTGCGTATGATTGAGAAATGTCTTTTCGAATTCTAAATGTTGGAAAAGCAGGAAAAGATACATAATTTATGTATATTTTTTTATTTTTTTTTATGAGACAGCTTGTTTTTTTCTCACCTGAAAAATGTTGGGGGGGTTTTTGGGCTTGGGACAATTGAGCAGCTTGTCACTAATCAACATCCCACGCCTTGCACTGAGATGGGGAGCAGGGACATAATATTATTTGACACAACGGTCTGGATCTGCTGTTGTATTGCTAAGATTTGTCTTCTCATATCTGAGAAGTGGTTTGAGATATTTCTTCAGTGTCTTATTATTCGTAACTATATAATATCTGTATATAATAAATGTATATATCTAAACATAATATGATAGGAAACATGAAAGCATTTTGATTGATAAAGTATTCGAAACGATTTGATATTGCCCAACCAACTTTCATAATGCAAAGCAAATCCATTTTTGTTGCTGGTGGTGGGTTTTTGTTTTGTTTTGTTTTTTGTTGTGTTGCGACTTGTGAGTAGAAGAGGTTGCTGTTTTCAGATTTGCTATTTTCAGCTTTGGTTCATGTAGAAAAGGCACACATTTCCCTAGCAGCTGTCTCTGAGTTGTTGTGTGGAGACCTCTGTGTCTGGGGACTTACCTGAGAGTTCTGTTGCATTTATGAGACGTACATTTTAAATTGATTTTCACTTATTTGATGGAAGAAGTAGGAAAAGATTTTCTTTTATCTTTAAAGAAGTAGGAAAAGATTTTCTTTTATCTTTAAAGAAGTAGGAAAAGATTTTCTTTTATCTTTCAAACTTGAGTTTACAAAAGTGAGAGAAAGCCAGAAGGAAAAGTAGAGAGAGGGAGAGAGGAATGAGAGGGAGAGAGGAAGAGAGGGAGAGGAATGAGAGGGAGAGAGGAATGAGAGGGAGAGAGGAATGAGAGGGAGAGAGGAATGAGAGGGAGAGAGGAATGAGAGGGAGAGAGGAATGAGAGGGAGAGAGGAATGAGAGGGAGAGAGGAAGAGAGGAATGAGAGGGAGAGAGGAATGAGAGGGAGAGAGGAAGAGAGGAATGAGAGGGAGAGAGGAATGGTTGTTCCCTCAGTGTACTTTTTCTCCGCTTGTAAATCTGGCCTGAGAATCACATTTATTTCAATCTCGCTGTACTAGTTTGTTTCTTCTTCCAAAGACAGATGTAATCATCGGCCATAGTGACTGTCTTTTGTGTACACGTTCTTCGTCAGATTATGAGTGTATATATATTGTATACTTGAAAGAATTGTTGAACACTGAATGGGCATGTACGTATACATGAAATGTTGCTTTAAATCCTGTTTTACGTTTTATTGTGAAGCGCCAGGAGCCAACAAGGAGTGGACGCTATAGAAGTGATATATCTTTATTATCATTGTTGTTTTTATTGGTTTTCAACACAAACTCACTGAATGCTGGACTCTGAGTATGTTGAGGGTCTCAGTGAGGATCCACGAGTCTGAGCATTCTTGGTACCATCAATGTGCAATGTTTGTAGAATTCTAGAGATCATCAACTTACGAAGTTTTAAAAATTATGATGATCACAAACTTGCAAAGTTTTTTAGAATTATTGAGATCATAGTTGAGAAGCTTTCAGAACTGTTAGGATTATCAACTTGCAAAGAATAAGACCTGAGAACCAACAGACAACTCTTGTGGGAGAATCATTTACTCTTTTACTCAACTAGTGTTTCAACGGAATTCCACCACAAGGAACCAGTCCAGACTCGGTGCCTAGGTTCTGTACAGGTTTTTGCCCCAGTCTTCACACACTGCCTTCAGCTGATCGTATCCTCAACTGGACATCATGTGCAATATTTTTTTTCATTTGCAAAAAATCATAGATTTTGAAAATAGAAACGTTATATCCGACACTTTGTCGATTTCTCAACCCTTCCTCTTTAATCGAAAGTGCATTAACTCGGAATTTTTTATTTACCCCAAAATAAATGAACAGGGCTGTTCACTGAGCTAGATATAACCAAGGTGTTTTGAGAATTAAGCTCAGGAATATATTCAATCAGAACTGCTCTGATGCCAATGGTCGCCTGTATAAGACAATCACCTGTATAAACGGCCACTTCCCATAGCTCTCCTTGCGTTTTGAAATACTCTTTTTAACATCAAATTGACACAGCAAGCAAGACGTCCACCTATTTAAAAAAGATGGCCATTTGTCTCCTTGAAATGGATGGCCGTCGTAGACAAATTGGACTAATCACGTATTTTCTTTCACCATATTTTGCTGCCAGTTATGAACACCATTTGTTCTCCCTCTGGGACTGGAAGCAAAAAGAAAAATTATAGATTTACTTTTTTTTTACGTTGTAACATTAACCAATGAGGAGGTCGATCTGTACGGGACCTCAATTAAAATCAGGAGTCAGTGTGGGCTATAAATGGCGTAAAAGTTCTTTGGGCCAACTTTTGTGTCTCTTCTCATCTTGTGCTTGGTGGAAATTTTTTTTGCGAAACCAGTCGCATGTTTAGTACATAACAGCATTGGTAGATTTTTCTCTGTATGATTATCATACTCGTTCTTTCTTTTTTTTCTGTTTTTGTCAAAGAGGAAGATATTGGCACTGGCTATCATACATATATAGAGCTTCCACTTCCACTGAAGTTTGTGTAAGCTTAGTGTTCATATCGCACTGCGAAAAAATGCTTAGTCGACAGTTTTGTCTGTTACTCGTGAAAAATGAAAATCAGAGAAGCGTGAGAAAATTAATGTTGTGCTGATTTGGCAGGCCATAAAACCATTGGCCAACAGTTTATCATAGTGCTGTACTTGGATTATTCTTTTATTTTTACACATTGTTCCAAACTTTTTTTGTTAAAAAGATTTTTTTTCAACTTTACACTTTGTGTGTGTGTCTGATTTTCCTTTTCTCCTCACTGCGGGACCATTGTCTGAATTGTCATGTCAGTTTGCCTGTTTGCCCAACCAAAGACTGTTTCTTTTTTCCTTTCTTATACTACCGTCTTTAATGATTTAATACGCCAGTGTGCGTGTGTGTGTGTTTGTGTGTGGGTGTTGTTCTATGTTATTTTACAAACTGTTCCGTATGTGCCGTCAGTTCTTGTGGAGCTGTAAATATGTTCTACACATCCCTGGATTGGTCCTTCGGGTGGTTGGAGGGTGCCAGTGGTAGTTTCTGCTTCTCTACTTTCCCTTGTTTTTCTTTAATTGCCTGTTTGTTTATCTGTTAATCTGTCTTAATTTTATCCACAACAGTAAATTTTTGGGAAGAAATTATTTTCTGTACCGCCAGCATCTGTGAATTGTAGGGACTGATTAATTTACAGTTTTTGCAATACAAAACTCACCTCGGATACCCCATCCCTCTCGGGGTGTTGTACATTCTATTTCTTCACTGTCTGCCTGTGTGTGTTATCATGGCCCACCTGTGTTGCTTTTACATTAATTTCTCCTAGTACTAAAGAACCGTTATTGTGGCCATCAGATTCTCTTTATTCCAACTAAAAATCTGACGTGTACTGATGAAGCTGTGGGTGATTGGTGGGACGCTTATTCCCTCGAGATTTCGTGTGTTGCAAGTGCGTTAAAACTGTTACTAAAAGTAGAAGTAAGTAGGGACTATGTCATGTGATAAAGTTATAACTGTTGCCAGAAGTAGAAGTAAGTAGGGACTATGTCGTGTGATAAAGTTATAACTGTTACCAGAAGTAGAAGTAAGTAGGCCCTATGTCATGTGATAAAGTTATAACTGTTACCAGAAGTAGAAGTAAGTAGGGACTATGTCGTGTGATAAAGTTAAAGTTTAAAGCTTGAGGACCTGGCTAAAATCTGTTTGGTATGTGCAATTTATACATGTCGTGTTGCGTTTACAAATTAGAATTAAAGTTGTCTGCGTGGGTGGTTGGAGGGCGCCTCCGATGGGTCTACTTCTTTTTTCCCCTCT